GGTACTTGCAGGGTGGCAAACGCTGCGGCTTGTTCCGTGTGCGGGTACCGCTCGCGCCCGGCTTGGAGGATGGGGCAGGGGCGATGCAGGGGGTGTCGCTGCGGGGGCAGCCCGAGCCCAGCGGGACCCTCGGGCTCTTCCCCCAGCTCGGGCCGTCGTCGCAGCAAAGCAGGAGCCGCACGTGGAGGGCTGGATGATGCAGGGGGAAGAGTGGGATGGGTCCTATATAGAAACGGGCGCAAAAAATCTGTTCCCATCAAAGCAGCCTCCTGCTCGTGTCTGGACTAGAGCCGAAGTGTCACCACCCTGCGCTGCCAATGAGATCTCCTTTCCCATGGCTGCTGGAAGTGACTCGTGCGTCGAGGGACATCGGCAGGAGCAGCGTCAAACCCGAGCTGCCCTGGGGAGCTCTGACCCCAGGAGGAGGAACCGGCTCCAGCAGGACAGATTCTGTCTTTTTGGTGAAAAAGGTAAGATTTCCCTTGCAGAAACACTTGCTCTGACACAGGGCAACATTCTCTGTGCTCACACACTTGCTCACGTTAAGCTATTCCCCCCCTCCCCAATAAATAAATAAATCTAAAAAACAGATTTACATGGGGAAAAATCCTTTTATTCTTGATTTCTATAAGCAATGTATGACCAGCATCAAGTGCATAGGTAACAAAAATAGTTAAAAAAAACATTTTTCTTTGTCTCGGCGTCGCCCCGGTGCGTGCCGCCTGCTGCGCTGCCGCCGGCAGCGTCTCGAAGCGCAGGGCGCGGGGAGGAAGCAAGCGGGAGAGGGGGACGAGCCGCCCCCTTCACTTGATCCTGAGATCCTTCAGGGCGGACTCCAGGCTGGGGAGGAGGAGGAGGAGGAGGAGAGGTGGGTCCGGGCCCTGAAGCGGCGCTGCGGGCGGACGCGGGGCTGCCTACCTTGACGTCCCAGATGCTCATGCCGCCGTCCATGCCCGTGGTGCAGAACTGGGAGCACTTGGCCTTGCCGCCCGCCAGCACCGAGATCTGGCTGCGGGGACAGAGAGGTGCAGGGGGCTCAGTCCCCAGCCCCGGAGGGCTCTGCTGCACCCGGGGTGGCATCAGGGCTGCGTTTCCCCCACCACCACCCCCCAGACACCCAAGGATGGCACGAGGACGCTCCGCGGACGCTGCGTCCCGCGGCACCTGATGCTGTTCTTGTGCAGCGTGTCGAGCGCGGCGTTGGCCGTGTCCGAGCTCGCCTTCTTGTCCAGGTTCTGGAAGCGCTCGCGGGCGGTGAGGCCGCGCTGGGAGCTCTGCTTGGGGACGTCCAGCTTCCCCCCGAAGGTCAGCGCGCCCTGGCCCTCCTCGTAGGTGAAGAGCATGGGGTAGCAGTCGTGGCCCTGCGGGAATCCAAGAGCAGGATCATTATGGTTGGAAAAGGCCTTCAAGAGCATCGAGTCCCACCGGCAGCCCGGCTCAGCGCTCACGGCACAGCCGCCCACGTCCCCAGCTCACCGCGGCTACCAGGCTGTTCTCGGGGATGAAGGTGACGGCCAGGGGGGGG